AAAGCATAAATCTTTTATACCTTTCCAAAAACAGCATCGTAATCAGAGGTTACATGATTGGTCACATAGTTGAGCATGTGTACTTAATAGCTAACATCCCATAACCATAACACCTTTTCAAACCATATATGTCTGTGTCCAAAACAACTGGTGATTTTCTGTATCTGGGACACTTAGTGGTTTTGGAACATCTTTATTTTAGGCTTTATCTGAATACACTTCTATATCTCCGCTCCTGTCCTTCTGCTAGCTAGCTTCACACCTGATCACTATCTTCCTGTTTCAATTCTTTTGCAAACTTAACCACAGAGCTTGTTGGCATGTTCTGTTGAGGGATGCAAGTTCAATCGTTCGTGACCCCAGTCTGACTCTAACTCTATCAGTTAACTCCAGTTTTGCTGCCATCATATTCAATGCAAAAGAAAAGCACTGCACAATAGAGGAATCCAGCAGAGAGAACGTGGCTGTGTGTCCTTCTCCAGAGCTTAAATCCTAGACCTTTTCAGCTGTTTCCTGGTAAAAGACTTTTGGTTCTCTTTCCCAGTCTGGAGGGCAGCTGGGCCATGTTTCCATAATGATCTCGTCTGGAGTGAGCTGTTCCCCACTTTGCCAGCATCAGGCCTAGCAGGAACAAAGTGGCACCCACCCAGCTGTGCCCAGCCCTTTCAGCAGGGAAGAAAAACAGAGGGACCGTGGAGGAAAGTTCCTGGGGACCAAGAGGGTGTGTGCCTATTCCAACCTGACATGGCCAGGAGACACTGGTTGATCCTGCCCCCCATGTCACCTGAACAGTGCTGAGGACCACCAGGACAGCAAAACACTTCGGATTTTATGCCCTTTGAAAATGCAGTCTGTTGCTATTTGTTTCTGGGGAAAACCTTAACCTGGATGCAGCTCATCACAATTTAAGGCTGTCTCCTGCATGGGTTGGGGAAGGCAATGTCCCAGGGACATGGCAGAATAAATATGTGGCCAGGGGATGCTTGTACTCTGTAACGTAAGACTCTGCTCTTACATCAAACAGCTGGTATAGAAGGACCTGCCACTGCTTTAACAGCAATGCTAAGCCTTGCCACACTGCAACACAGCTAGGGCTGGGAGAGGTGAGGCCCTCCGAATATTGCTAAACTACACTTCCCAGCATCTCCAACCACTGGCCAGGCTGGCTGGGAATTCTGGGCCTTTCAATCCAGTAGCATCAAGAAGGCCCAGCGTTTTCCAATTCGGACTGCAGTAGAAAGCTTGCCAGTAAGTAGCAACTCCAACTAGTAGCCAAACATATTGTCATCACTGGTCTGGGTTGCCATAAGGAGGGGGCTGGTGGTAAAGACGCAGTTCCACGTTCTTCTCTTCTGCTCGCAGCTCCTTTTGCTGCCGTAAAATTCTGCAGCAATATTTGGGCATGTTCTTAGCTAGAGCTGTGTAGATGAATGGGTGGATGCAAACATGAAAGTTAACTAGGATCTTAGTTATTTGGTAGACGATGTAGAGAAGCAAGTTGCAGTTGTCCTGTATACGAATATTCAGGTGTGTATTGCGAAGGGCATGAAAAGGCAAGTAAAAGAGGGCGTAGAGGAGCACAACTGTAGAAATCAGCACCTTCACTTTGCACTTTTCCTCCCTGGTGGTACCGTGGCTGCGTCTAACAGCATAAACAATGGCCACACAAGAAAAGAGAGTCAGGAGAAAAGGCAGCCCACAGCCAAAAGTCAGTAGGAACAAGCTGTATGGCCAATAAGTAAGCAATTCTGCTTTAGTGGCACTTCCTAGGCAATGTGTTACATTGTCTTTGCCTTGCAAGGTGGAGAAACGAAGGACGGGGGCTGAGACGGCCATCGCCAGCAACCACACAGCCCCACTGACCAGTTTGGCATGGAAGGGTTCGAGACGGTCATGGGCAAAGAAGGGATGGACAATGGCAATGTAGCGGTTCAGGCTGATGCAGGCGATGAAAAAGGTGCTGCCGTACAAGTTGAAGAAAAAGACAAAGCGTTCCAGTTTGCAGAGAAAGGAGCCGTATTTCCAGTCCTTGGGAGGGAAATAGTAAGCAGCCAAGGGCAACAAGGAGATGGCATAGAACAGGTCACAGAGAGCCAGGTTGAAGGAGTAGACGATGCCAGAATGCCAGGAGCGTTCCCACATCACAAAGTGGTAGATCGCAAAGCCATTCCCAACAACAGCGAAAAAGAACTGCAGAACTATGATGATCCACAGTTTTTCTTGGAAGTGGTCCAGTTCATTCCTACAGTCGTTGTCCATCCTGGGGAAAGCAGGACGAATGAGATGAGAGACTTCCAAGACTACCTGTTTGACTACAGAGAAATGAGGAATGAGTGGATCACGAGAAATGCTGACACCCACCATTTCAACCGTAGCTCTCTTAAAACACAACTGGCTACCTCCAGCTTAGGTTTATAGCCCCCTGTTTTTTGACCCCTTGGAATAGGTGCCTATTTGGTAAACAGCATTTCCACTAAGTTGAATGTGATTGTGAGGGTTATATAAAAATAAGGGAAAAGGAAAGAGGGAAAAGTCACAAAACTATAACACCTCTCATGTACAATCAAAACTAGTTTTACCTATGCCTTCATGATCTGCTGTGCAATCAAATTAATGTATAAGTCAGTTTACTGACCACTAGCAAAAATTAGGAATTCAGCATATAAACAGCCCTCCAGCTGGGACTTCCATAGGTAAAATCCTTCTTCAGATCTAACAAGCCAAGTTTTTCAGTTCATTGTACAATTAATTAATGGATCATGGTTATTCTTTTATAGGATCCATTTTGGGGATAGGCAATATTCATTACTAGTATCTTCCTGTTAGTTCCCAGACTAAATTAAAAATGTATTTACAAAAACAAATGAGTCTTCCAGAACAAGTTAATATGTGGAATAAATTCTACCTCAAAATACAGGTAGTCCTCAGTTAACGATGGTAATTTGGACTGGAGTTTCTGTTGCTACGTGATGCAGTCATAGACTGCAATGTCATATGACTGCATTGCTTAGTGACAGCAGTTCCAACAGTCCCTGGTTACTGGTGCTAAGCAAGGATTATGCAGGACGTTAAGTGAGGACCTCACATGGTTGCAACTTCCAACTTCCTGCCGGCTTCCCCATTAACTTTGTTTGTGGGAAACCAACAGGGAAGGTTGCAAATTGCAATCACATGACCATGGGACATTGCAATGATTGGAAATTCAGGGGGGCTGCTGAGCACCTGGATAATGATCACATGACCATGGGGCTGCTGTGCCAGCCGGAACTTCAAGGACTGGTCATAACTACCACTCATTCAGTGCTGTTGCAAGTTTGAACCATCGCTGAACAAGTGGTCATTAAACAAGGACCACCTGTAAGCTATTACAGCACAAGAGCCAAGCCTACAAATTAATTTTTCATTTTGACATCACATCTCCAACAATTAACTAAGTTGATAATTTTCTTACAGAAAAAAAATGCATAGCTATCCAACTGACACAAAATATTTTTATTGTTAATCAGAATTATACATCTATAGAAATACATTATACACATGCCAAAATAGTCTTGCACTGATGTTCATGTACTACAGATTCCAATTCTTATTCACTGCTTCCCTATACTGTACTTTCAAACATATAATTTAGTGTATTCTAACATTCATTTATAAATAATTATGATAAGCTTTTTATTTTACACAGACCATATTAAATCCTATAGTTGTAGAGGCATTGAAGACATACAGGACTCTTGGCCTTTAGCCTAAAGATGCTTTAGCTGAAAATATGAAGTGGTTTGCCCTTGCCTTCTTCCCAGGGCTGAGAGAGAGTGACTGGCCCAGAGCCACCCAGCTGGCTTCGTGCCTAAGGCGGGACTAGAACTCAGAGTCCCCCAGTTTCTAGCCTGCTGCCTTTAACCACTACACCAAACTGGCTTTTATGGTTATATTACAAATAACAAAAAATCAACACCCGAGTATTCATCGATCTCAAGTATACACACCTAAGTTCTACAAAGGTTGAACAAATGCTCTGACAAAGAACTTTTTAGAAGTTCTGAAAAGACGCTCTCCTCCTTATCTTACAGGTTATTATTCCATTTCTAAACTGGTCTTGTAGAGAGGAAAAATACTGTTTTCCCTAATGCTTGCCTTGCTCAAAGGCTACTTTAAAGGCTACTCCCAATGATTTAAATACAGTTCAATATATGCTTTCTCTGTTGGCCAGTCATTCATCCTTGATCACAAACAATGCATCAATAACAGCCAATAAACTCTTAACTTCTCCCCCTTGCATATATACACAAGCAGCTATTCTGCCCACTTGTTTCATCAAACCACATTTCTTGTCTCTTTCACATTTGCTCCTCTATTCTGATGTTTTAGCCATCTACTGTATTCCTTTTGGACTAGAGCATAATTACAGACTATGCAGCTTCTTTCGTTAATTTCCCAGAATTCTTTATTTCTTTCCTGGTTAGAAGCAAGTTCTGGATCTTAGCTTGGCCAAAAGGGTATTGGGCACTTTTTAAAATTTGTTTTAATACATTAATTCATCTAATATATTTATTATAGCTTTTGTGCTGTGACACTTGGTGTAAGTTTGACCTGGGTGCACTAAAACCCCCTTCAATTTTGTTTTGTTTAGTTGGTCCTTTGCCACTGAACCCAATTACTTTCCATTCTCTTGAACTTGTGCAAATCATTCTTCTGTCCGATGCTACCTGTTGCAAACACAGCTGTAGCTGGAACATTTCTGTCCTTGTTAGGCTCAATAGATGGTCAGAGACATCGCCCCCCAAAAGTTCTAAGCTATTCCACCTTCAAAGATTCACTTGCAGCATTTGCAAAGAGCAATAAGGGCTAGGGGTCAAGGAAACCTAGGAGATAAAGGGCGTAGCGACTAACAGAACTCAGAAACTGGAATCCCTAATTTGGTTGTAGTATCTAGGGCAGTGTTTCTCAACCTTGGCAACTTTAAGAGGTGTGGACTTCAACTCCCAGAATTTCCCAGCCAGCAAGCAAGCAAGGTTGAGAAACACTGATCTAAGGTATATCTCATGATCACAGAGCCTAAGCAGTAGAGACAGACTTCTGGCACTACCCTGACTGTCATCTCTCCCAATTCACCCACTCCTGGAGTTTAATAAAATACACTCTTCAATACTTCAGATACTGGGTGCAAAGTTAAAAGACAGAGATAAACCTGGAGCAAGGTGAAACAAAGTAAAAGGAACAATATGGACCCAAAGAAAAGAAGGAAAGAGCTAGTACTACATCAGCCTTCTCCAACCTGGCCTCCTGTTTTGTAAAACTACAATCCTCATCATCTCCAACCATGCTGGTTGATTGGAAGTATTGGGGGATGTAGTCCAATCCATCTGGAGGACACTAAGGTGGGAAAGGCTAGAGAGGGAGTGTAGTAGCTGCGTAAATAGTACCACAAGACATATATACCTAATCCAGCTGCCAGTCGATTCTATGGTAGAAGTGGGTCAGCCGTACGTTTCCCTTATTGCAACGAAGCTGTGAGGTCCGTCTTCAAAATGAGGTAGTGCAATGTCATGTGGATTCTGCAGCTGGATGAGGAAGTACTCTAGATGAATCATGACTAAATAAAGGTGGAAGCGCTCTGCCTTGTGCAACAAATTGATGCCTTCTACCGCTCTTCGCGTGCGACCACAACACGTAGCAAAAAGAGTAAGAAAAATACCAGACAGAATGGGGTGGGGTGGAAGGATCCTAGAGTTAGAATAACACTGGCCGTCGAACAAGGAATAAATCCCAGAGCTGAAAAAGGATGGACTTCCTCTGAAATCCTACCTGTTCTTTCATTTTAAACTCCACGGATAACTCTGGAGAATGTGAAATGCGATGGAATGAAGCTGCTGAGAGAAATGGATGTGACGAAGAAGCAGCGGAGATCTGTAGCTCCAAGATGTTCGATGTCATTCCACATCACCACCCTGTTGAACTAGCATACAGCTACAAAAAGTAGTCGTTTGGTTCCAATCCCAGGGAAGAATGACTTGCGGACATCTACTACCAAGAGTTCATTGCATTTAATCAAGCAAGATTGGGTGGAGTCTTTTGCTGGAAAAAAAAAAGGGGGCACCAAAAAGCTATTTGGAGTAATAGAAATCTGAAAGGATGCTTCGGCTGATCTAACTCTCCGATGCAATCCCTCTCAGATAGCCAGAGATGGGCAGGTGCCTGCATTGTTCTAACCCAGCCCCGCCAGCAGCCCTACCCCATTTTTGGATAGGCCACAGCGATCAGCGGTCAAATAAGAAATGTAGTTCTTAGTCTGTCAGCAGTTACAGTGAACGGAAAAGTTGGTTTGGGCACAAACCACATCCTGAATTCTAATCAACTTTAGATGTTGCTAGAGTCCTTCAAAATATTGAATTTAAAGGATAAAGCCTTTTTTTTTTAAAGGGAGACCATTTTCCCTCTGGGTCATACAGTGGGGCAAAAAAGTATTTAGTCAGCCACCAATTGTGCAAGTTCTCCCACTTAAACCAGGATGACTGATCCGTGTAAAGGAAAGAATGAATGGGGCCATGTATTGTGAGATTTTGAGTGAACACCTCCTTCCATCAGCAAGGGCATTGAAGATGAAACGTGGCTGGGTCTTTCAGCATGCCAGGATGACTGATCCGTGTAAAGGAAAGAATGAATGGGGCCATGTATTGTGAGATTTTGAGTGAACACCTCCTTCCATCAGCAAGGGCATTGAAGATGAAACGTGGCTGGGTCTTTCAGCATGCCAGGATGACTGATCCGTGTAAAGGAAAGAATGAATGGGGCCATGTATTGTGAGATTTTGAGTGAACACCTCCTTCCATCAGCAAGGGCATTGAAGATGAAACGTGGCTGGGTCTTTCAGCATGCCAGGATGACTGATCCGTGTAAAGGAAAGAATGAATGGGGCCATGTATTGTGAGATTTTGAGTGAACACCTCCTTCCATCAGCAAGGGCATTGAAGATGAAACGTGGCTGGGTCTTTCAGCATGTGGAGCCCCAGATCGAGGGAGATTATCAGTGGTCTTGTATGTCTTCCATTTTCTAATTATTGCTCCCACAGTTGACTTCTTCACACCAAGCTGCTTGCCTATTGCAGATTCAGTCTTCCCAGCCTGGTGTAGATCTACCATTTTGTTTCTGGTGTCCTTCAACAGCTCTTTGCTCTTGGCCATAGTGGAGTTT